GGTGGCCACCCACCTGCCTCTTGTAAGTTGTGAGGTCCCCAGGTGGAACAGGCAATGGGTCTCCATCATCTCCTAGCCATGGACCCTGAAGACATCCTAGGCTGGGAGTCACAGGTGATGGAAGGCCCCTATCTGTGACTGGCCTGGCGGGAGCTCCCTGAAATCCCGCACTGATTTGCACCACGGACCCACGATGCCCCACGGAGACTCGGTCGTTTAATGCCAGCCCTCATGTAAGCTCCGTTGGATCAAGGGTGGTTGGCCACCAGCAGGGAATTGGGCCTGTAATAGGTCGCGATATGGAGCAGTAATAAACAACGAGACACACCCACGTGGCCAAAGGTGAAATCCTAGAACGGGAAGGAACCTCGAGAGGTCATCAAGTCCAGTCCCCAAGCATTGTCTACATCAGGGCTACTCAACATGCGGCCCATTTATTTGCAGCCCACCGGAGGGAGTTAAAACAAAAAAGCAGCCAATATACTGGACTTCCGTTGAGATACGTTCGTGGAAGTTAAATTCCTGGACTGCCATTGCTCATTAAAAGTGCTGACATATCAGGTGGCAAACAGGTGACTATTGCATTTTATTAATATCAGCAGATCTGGCTTGTGTAACCTTGGCTTCAACATTGTCTTCCTGCCCGTCGGTGTGAAAGAAGCTGTTTGCAGAGATATTTGCAAGTCTATGCAACCGCACTTAAGTTGCAGCCTCCGCATGTGCTGTGAATATCATTGTGGCCCCCAGGGCTTCCAAATTTGAATAGCACCAGTTTAGATCATCCCTGATTGATGTCTGTCTAGCCTGCTCTTAGATATCTCCAGAGATGGAGAACCCACAACCTCCTTAGGCAATTTATTTCCTAACCCTAACCCTAACCTGCAGGAAGTTTTTCCTAATGTCCATAACCCTAACCCTAACCCTAACCCTAACCCTAACCCTAACCCTAACCCTAACCCTAACCCTAACCCTAACCCTAACCCTAACCCTAACCCTAACCCTAACCCTAACCCTAACCCTAACCCTAACCCTAACCCTAACTCGTTCACTCTTCCCTCATCGCTCACGTTCTCTAGACCTTTCCTCATTCTTGTTGCTCTTCTCTGGACTTTCTCCGATTTCTCCGCATCTTTCTTGAAATGCGGTGCCCAGAACTGGACACAATACTGCAACTGAGGCCTAATCAGCGCAGAGCAGAGCGGCAGAATGACTTCTCGTGTCTTGCTCACCACACTCCTGTTCATGCAGCCCAGAATCGTGTTTGCTTTTTTGCAAAGTGGTCAGTTTTTTTTTAAACAAAGAAACACTGGGGCTTTGGGGTGGTCATAATGACTCATAATAGCACCCAGGAGGTGCCCTGGCCTCTTTGCCCCTGCCAAAATTTTGGTTGTTTCCTCATGCCCTGGCCTTGTTGCTCTCAGTGGCCCTCCCTGTACCTCCTCCCCTCCTCAACAACAGTTACCTGTGGCATTAGTTGCCCATCAACTTGATTTCTTGGAAAACAGGTTGTACCAGACAAACCCCGGATCATTTTTCAGTGAGAGGAAATCAGGGTAGCTGAGTTGACACAGCGCAGTCAAAGGCACGCTGACGTCACACACTGAGACTTCTGGGAAGCATTCGACTTCGCCCTGCGTGCCAGCCTGACTCGAGAATTAGCCCCCAGGGGAAACCCGCCTCCCATGGCTTAAATGCTGGGTACTATCTGTCAGTTGAGCTAGAAGAAAGCCCTGTACATGCAGCAGAGGCAGGGCCAAGTAAACTCAGGCCAAGCCTGGCAGGTTCTTGAGAACCTCCCGCACGACGCAGCAGCAGGAAAAGTGAACCGCGTTGTGGGGTGCGTTCACAGCTGTAATTGTCCTGCGTTGTTCAGCAGTGGAAAACAAGGTTGGGCGAAGGGGCATGAGCAAACCCAAAGGACCTTAAAACTTGTAATAGGGGGAAACCCACTAAGAAATGTTGGCGATGAACAAATACAGGTTTTGGACTCGGAAAAACAAACATCTCTGGGCAAATCGGGGCTTGCAGAAGACGAAGGAATGTTGCTGTGGAAAGAGTTATACCCTGAGCTCCAACACCCCCCATAGATTAAAGGATACAACAAGGCAGCATACATATCCCGAAAGAACAATGAAGGCTTGTTGAGTGGTAACGAAGGAAGAATTTTGATTGTTCCGTTTTTAATAAGCTCTAATGATGAGTCAGGGAAGGAGCTGAGATAAGGAAGCACCAGTGTGTATTTGTCAATTCTTCTGTGATTGCACATTGCTGAGTTAGGATGCTGTTGATGGTGCTGTGATGAGTAACATGTTGTGTTACTCAGTGCGCAGCAGCAGTCAAAAAAGCCAACAGGATGTTAGGAATCATTTTTAAAAAAGGATAGAGACTCAGACAGAGAATATCTTATTGCCTCTGTAGAAATCCATGGCATGCCCACAACTTGAATACTGTGTCCAGATGTGGTCGCCTCATCTCAAAAAAGATCTCTTGGCATTGGAAAAGGTTCTGAAAAGGGCAACAAAAATGATTTGGGGTTTGGAACGGGTCCCATAGGAAGAGGGATTAAAAAGATTTGGACTTTTCAGCTTAGAAAAGAGGAGACTGAAGGGGGATAGGATAGAGGTCTATAACATCATGACTGGTGTGGAAAAAGTGAATAAGGAAAAGTTATTTACTTATTCCCACATTAAAAGAATTAGGGGTCACCGAATGAAATAAATAGGCAGCAGGTTTAATTAAAAGAATTAGGGGTCACTGAATGAAATAAATAGGCAGCAGGTTTAAAAGAAAAGGAAGTTTTTCTTCATGCAGCGCACAGTCAACCTGTGGAACTCCTCGCCGGAGGATGCGGTGAAGCCTAGAGCTTTAACAGGGTTCAAAAAAGATCTCAATAGATTCATGGAGGGTAGTTCCATCAATGGCTATTAGCCAGGATGGGTAGGAATGGTGTCCCTAGCCTTTGTCTGGAAATAAATGACAGGGGAGGGATCACATGAGGATTACCTGTTGTGTTCCCTCCCTCTGGGGCACCTGGCTTTGGCCACTGTCAGCAGGCAAGACACTGGGCTAGATGGATCTTTGGTCTGACCCAGTCTGGCCGTACTTGCGTGGGAAGACGTCAGTAACAGATATACAAACGTAATGTTAAAAAAATCCCCTCCTGTTTCTGGGAAGACTGAGAAACAAGGCACCCCGGGACATCTCGGCCCAGAAAACTGCAAACCCAGCAGGGGGGAAAAAAAAGTAGACATTTGATCAGTGTTTCTCAACTTTTTTTTCAAAATAAAATACCCCCTTTTCCATATATATATATATACCCCCAGTACCTACAGTTTTCAGACACACAATTTTTTTCTACAATTGCAACACATTTGTTAAAAACAACTTAATCGTAGCTGGGCGGGTGATGACTTTTTTGGTTGTAAAAAGTGCAAAAATAATAAAGCGCTGTCAAACTCCAAATTTCAGTTGTGTTGATGGAACCCCCAGACTTCTCTCAAGGACCCCTAAGGGTACTTGTATCACTGATTGAGAGAGACTGTGTTAGATGTTTGAAACATGTGTGTGTGAGTGTTCTGTGGGCTACCTGAAAATCCGTGCGTAGTGCGTGAAACACGAGTGGGAGGAAAGTCGATCAATGGGGAATGTGGACCGGCACAAGAATTCAAGGGAAACTGGACCTCAAACCAGGGAAGCACGAGACTGGAACAGGAAGGATGGGGGCTGTCATGGCTCCTTCCCCACCCTGGCATGATAAATTCAGAAGTGGGGGCGAGCAAAAATCCCCCAAAACCTTCTCTACCAGGCTTTGGTATAAAACTTCCTCCCAAAAGCTTAACAACCTAGATTTTAGGAATAACATCTCCGCTGCCACCACCCAAGTATTAATAAAGAAACCAGGGGAGAGATCACATGGGAAATCTTACCCCTAAAGTAAAAACCAGGACACAAAAATTAACCAATCCCAGGTTAATAAAAAGAAAAGAGAAAACTTTTATTTTCACCACACTATTCCTGTGGCAAGCATAAAAAGTAGATGGAAAAATAACAAACTAATATACTCATGGAGAAACTCCATGGGCCTAGAACTTAGTTACAAAGGGAAGCCAACACAGCTTTTAAAAAGTGCACAGACCATAAAATAACAAAACCCGTACCCAAACCATAAAATAACAAACCCTAACGGATTTATCCAAACTTTACCCTATTTACAGAACATGAAGACTTGTTTCTTGGGGTGTGTCTAGACTACACTTTATCTTATTTACAGAAAGTCAAGACTTGTTTCTTGGGGTGTGTCTAGACTACAGGGTTTTATCGACAAAAGTATACCTGCGTCTACACGACTGCCGCGTTCTCTCGACATAACGTCGACAGCACTTGGCAGGCTTGTCGAGGGCGGTAAACCTCGTTCTACGAGGAATAACACCTTTTGTCGACAGAGTTCTGTCGGGAGAAGGCGTTATTGCGTCTACACTGTCCTTTGCGTCTCCGCTCTCATGTTGACAAAGCGGCTTGCTTTGTCGACAGGACTGGATGTCGTCTAGACGCTCTTGTTAAAAAAAGGGCGATAAACCCTTGGCTACGGCTACCTATCGGAGTGAGGCTCTCTGTTCGCTGCGGGCTTTTCCGTCGCACCAACAAACACGGGCG